GCTAGATTTAGCAAATAAAAATAAAGGGCACCCAAATAAACTTGAATTTCAGATAGATGAGAAATAAATTTTTTTAGCATAAATATGTCACATTCAATATTTCGGATATACTAAGAAAAATTCCTCAAATTCATATTTGACTGGGCATCTTGTATTATAACTGGTAACCCTTTCAACAGGCTTTTTTTTTTTTTGCCTTAAACATCAAAAATTTATTTTCCGACAGTTCAGAAGGCTAGGAATTTAAGTTCAGGAATTTAGGATGTGGCTCTAGTGGGAGGTCCTTCTTTGTCTATTTCAGCCTCTAGGAGCTGCCAGCAATCCTTGGCGTTCCTGGGCTTGTAGAGGCATCTGCCGTGTGTGCCTGTTTTCATATGGTGTCTTCCTCCCACGTGTGGTGTGTCTCTGGGTCTGTTCTACTCTTTTCATAACTCGGAAATGATTAGGTTTAGGACCTACCCTACTCTGGTATGACAAAAGAAAAAACCTGTTTCTAGCCAAGATCATATTTACAGACACTGGGGTTAGGATTTCAACATTATGTGTGTATATATATATATATATATGTATGTATGTATACACACACACATATATATCTGTATCTGTACATATATAGGAAGCCCTGGTGGTGCAGTGGTTAAGAGCTATGGCTGCTAACCAAAAGGTGGGCAGTTCGAATCCACCAGGTATTCCTTGAAAACTCTTTGGAGCAGTTCTACTCTGTCCTATAGGGTCGCTATGAGTTGGGATCGACTCGATGGCAATGGGTTTGGTTTTCGTTTTATATACATATATGCATATATATATAGACACACACATATATGTATTTTGTTTTTTTGGCAGGGGCATAATTCAATTCACAACACCATTAGGGTTAATTTTCCCATTTTACAGATAAAAATACAGGGGTCAACAGTTTCTTAAGGTAAATTTGGTGACGGTTCGTTGAGACAAATGAAAAGACTTCAGAGCTGTATTTCTCAACCTTGACACTATGGACATTTGGGACTGGATAATTCTTTGTTGTGAGAGGGACTGTCCTGAGCATTGTAGGATATTTAGCAGCATCCCTGGCTTCTGCCCACTGGATGCTAGTAGTGTTGTGGCAATCAAATATATCTGCAAGCTTTGCCATTTGTTCCCTGGGGGATGAAATGGCCCCCTGTTGAAAACCACTGCTTTAAAAGTAGCAGAAAAGACTGTAATGCATATCAAGATGGTAGACCAGAAGGTGGCACTTTCATACAAATAATGATGCAGGTCCTTCCCTGGCCTCCATTCTCCGTTCCCTCCTTACCTTCTGGGCTCCCTCCCTGTAAGGGCAGGAGCTGGCTAGACCTTTGTCTGAGGAGCCCAATGAGATAGTTTTAGACACATGTTGATCATAATCACTAGAAAATCATTCAACTCTATCTGCTTTGCCTTTGTACACAGCCCACAGGGGCTCATATGTGACAACTCTTGAGGTTCTGTCTCAGATCTCTTCTTCAAAGAGCCCCCAACATACTATTAAATCAAGTATTCACATTTTATCAGAGGACATCATTGTGTAGCCTGGGGGAACCTGGCATTTGATGGGCAAATCTCTTATAGTCAAGCTACTTAAGTGTACATATTATTCTTTTGCTCCATTTTGTAGAGGGCAAAACTTGGAAGCATTGGGTAATGAATTCTGTCCTTTGAATATTTTCTGCCTGTACATTTATCCTTGAAAAAAAAAATGCTGATATACCCCAAATGATGTTTCCTATTTGTAAAGTTCCCCTGCTTGAGTATGTTTTCTTAGCCCCTTGGAAAAAAATTGAAGCGACTTTCGCTCTATTAACTTTGATTGTCCAGCATTGATAATTAATTTTGTAGGCCTATCAGCTTATGTAGTGGGAAAATTTCATTAGCAGGTTAAATGTAACTTCAGTTCTTTGCTGCTCTCCATATTTTGCAGGCTTTTAGAGAAGCAATGGTTTTATGAAAATCCATTGAGCAAAGCAAAGACAATGTAACTATCTGGTTATATTACTGTGGGAAATTCTCCTTTCCCAATTTGCTATAAACGTTGTATATTCTCAAATCTCTTTTATTCTAGTGTGCTTCCTTAAATAGGAACACTCTGCTTCCTAAGTAGCCCTACCTGAAAGAACAGCATTATCTTTATTTGTAATCACAGGCTTTCATCATTGCAGAAAATATCCAAGCATTCTCAGATTCTGATATTTGTGTTTAATCAATAACCACATCCCTTTTTGATCTGTCTTACCTCTGCAATTGTGTTTCCCCAGCTGCGTACGTTTTATTGTGTAAGAATTCAATTGAAGGAACCATTCATGTTTGCAAAAAGGATGATGTTTTATTATTGGTTATAAAGAAAAGAAATTTCACACTTTGTATAACCGACCCTTTCTGTTATAGCACGGTGAATTCTGAAAGTGAGGAACAAGTTAACAAACCGTGGAAAGAAAGGCCACAAAAGATCTTGCAGTATTCTGACCACGTTAGAAAATAAGACCTCGTGATTTTTACATATCTAATTGACAAGCATTCAGTTCAAATTAGAAATGCACAATCTTTGCATAACTTGAGAGTATGTAGACTAGAAAGAATAAAGGGATGATGATCAAAATATGTAACTCCAATGCAGCATGTTTGATCAATGACCCAGGTATCATATTACTGGAACAGGGTCCTGTAGATCCCCCTGCAGGGCCAGGTGTTACTCCTTTAGTACTTAGATCATAGGAAGGCGGGGTGGGTCCTTGGAGAGGGGCCAGGGTGGCTGGGCGAGAGGGAGGAGCACTAAGGAGGTTCAAGCTACCAACTACTCACGGACCAGCCTGGTCATATTTTCCTATTTGAACACTTGGAGGAGCTATACCCTTGTGTGCCAGCTGGACTAAGAGGTGGAGAACTATGGAGTGGTACAGTATAGTCAGAAACCTGGAGCATGAATTCAGGTTCCCAACACTGCCATTAATCCACTGTGTAGTCTTGGATAAGTTACTTCACCTCTTGGGGATCTTTGTTTACTCTTGCCAAAAAATGAGACTATTGAATAGAATAGCCCATGTTCTGTTTCTGCTCTATGAATCTACTGTTTTTTGTTTGTTTTCCTAAAGATCTGTAGGTTCTATGCATAGAGAGTTGTCTCTTTGCGCTTCAGAAAAGCAGAAACTAAAGTGTTGGTGATCAGGTGTGGGGTCACGCTCTTGTTCGGTGGTTTGTGAATAATACGATAGTCCGACAGGAATGAAGCCAGCATTAACCATGGCTGCATTGCGCTGTTGGGAGCAAGTCAAGAGGAGTTAAATGCTTTTTTAGAGGCGGCTTAACAATATTTTTTTAAAGATTAATAGTTTTCAATGTTTTGGGGAAATTATTGCGGAGTAGAAAAATGTGCTCATATACTACAGAAACAAACAAATGCTGCTTTTGCCTGAAATTACGTAAAAAACAAAAAAACCAAACCCGTTGCCATCTAGGTGATTCTGACTCATAGCAACCCTATAGGACAGAGAAGAGCTGTCCCATAGGGTTTCCAGGGAGTGCTTGGTGGATTTGAACTGCTGACCTTTTGGTTAGCAGCTGTAGCTCTTAACCACTACGCCACCAGGTTTTCCAAAATTACCTACATCAGACAAAAACAGGTATTTCGGGTATTTTGTTTGTTGTGTACATAGATCTCAAAAAACTACCCTGAAAATTCTCCATCTCACTTTTCTGTTCTTTGTTTGGTTATTGATACCTTATGGTTTTCTTTCTTTTTTTTGGTCTCAGTAAAATATGTTGAGATACCTCCATGAGAATATACAAGCACAATTAAGGAGCAATCTATTTCCCTAGCAACTGTAGAATCGCAAACCATCACCAAAGCAAAGAAGATTCCAAAGTAACTTCAGCCTCGATGGGGTTTCCCCCTAAATTGTTTGTTTTAATTTGCTTGAGTAGAAAATGGCTTTTAAGTTTACAGCTATCTTTGTAAGTGTGAAGAAGGGTTTAACATAATTATTAATTACTTTAATTATCAAAGAAAAACCCAGATTATCGTTCTGGAAGCACACGCGGTATTAGAAAACTCCATGCTGAATAAATATCTGCGTGTGTGTTTTTTTCGGGTGCCTATAGAAATGATAGTTTCATAAAACGACCTGATTCTGTTTCAATATCCTGTTGCTTATTATACCTGACAAACAGAAACGAGGAAAATGAAGAACTGATTTTCTGAGGTCATTCTCTTGAAACTTGTATGTAATTCCCATTCATGCTCGTTAGAATAAAGAAGAGCCTTTCTGTAACAAACTAAGAATATACATAACGTGTTATGACACAGTCGTAGATATATAATAATATGGTCTAGAATAACAGTACTCTCTTGAAGTACACCACATTCAAAATCCACTGGAGATGTTTTAGAGACATCTGTTGTAATTACAGGAACATGGTTTCTAATTCATTTAATTCCCTTTCCTACCTAAACTGTACATATAAGTGAATTTTAAGAGACTGTATAAATAAATTTTTAATTACAAAATGATGTTATATAATACATTATTAATAATCACCAACAATGCATAATGTTTATGCATGAGTCCATTAGAAAGACGAGCTAACGTATGTCAATTCTAAAAGAACGCACTAATTTGTCCTGATTTTGTGAATGAGGTTGAATCCATGTTGCAAGCTGATGAGAACAATAACATGGAGTGGTTTACCATGCTGTTTTCTAGGCAAGAAACATCTCGTACCTATGGTATTTAAGAGATGTGTAAAATGTGCTCATCCCATGTGATAAAGAATTTTATTTTTCAGCAAGCCATGCGGTTGTGAATTTTGGAATGAGACCATGTAGTTGACAATACTAGCTTTCCCAGACAGGTGCAGAATAAAATGGCCTACAGATCCAAGAAATGTGTACAGTGCTTACATTTCAGCACAGGGAAATCACAGTCTTGTGATGAAGCTTTCTACAGCGGGCAAAGGGTCTGCCGGAATGTGGTGGCCTCATCACGCTAGCGATAACAGATTTCTGAAATCTCCATGGCCAGCTCCAGACACTCGCCAGTCTCATGGCAAGATTCAAAAAGGCTGCAGTCCAAGTCACAGGCGCAGCTGCAATCATTCCGAGAGTGGTTTTCATCCGAAGTGTGGTGGTATCTGTGAGAGGGGCAGCACAGGTTGATACACACTGTTTCGCACGTGTCGGGGAGCATCAGGAGACAATCCCAAAACTGGCAGAACAGGCAGGTGAGGATAAGGGAGGCACACTCATCTGTTCAAAGAAGAAAAAGAACATTACTAGTGGGAACTGGGCGGGGGCGGGGAGGTCTGGGAAAGGCAGGCATATACATAGTATACTTGATAACTTTATTTAAAAAATAAGAACAAACCAGCTGTCATCAAGTTGATTCTGACACATGGAGACCGCCATGTGTGTCAGAGTAGAACTGTGCTCCATAGGGTTTTTAACGGCTGATTTTTCGAAAGTAGATTGCCAGGCCTTCCTTCTGAGGTGCCCCTGGGTGGACTCGAACTGTCAATCTTTTGGTTAGCAGCCAGGCATGTTAACCGTTTATACCACCCAGAGACTCAGGTAACTTTATAGCTGATTCTTATTCATCCACATGAGGGGGAATGTACACCACTATTCTCTCCAGCTCCCCCACCCCGACGCCAGCACTCACTCTACTTAAGTAATCGCTTCATTAACTTCCTGAGCATTTCCTATTGATTCCACGTAACCTGGTTATTTAAAGTGCTGTCACTTTTTCTAAGCTCCTTTATTTACTTTGCCTGCGGAGAGGTGCTGGGAAGCTGTACAATTAGCTACCTTTCTGGAAAATTTGCACCCTTCTGGAAAAATCCCGAAGTCCTCCCCAAGTGCAGGAGGTTTTCAAGAGCAATTAGAGTTGGGGACAAAAAGACTGCAAAATTCCTGCTTCTAGTCACAAGGCTATGTTATTGGTTCGAAACAGATTCTCAGAAAGCTGCCACACCCATATTCAAATGCAAGGAAAAAGAGTATTTCAAAAATCTAATATAAGTGAGTTAAAAAAATAATTACAGCTTTTCTGGGGTTGTGTTTTATTTTTAACCCCTATTTCCTTTTTTCCTCCGGTAACGTAAAGCCTTGATTTTATCTTCAAGTTGTTGAAGTGCAGTACGTCATCACGTGCCTAAAAGGGTATAAATCTTCTCAATTCTCCTTAAGAAAATTTGTTTAAAAATTTACTATGCAGACTTGTAAAATTCTGAAAAGTATCTCTAAGGCATTGAAGGTAATTGGTAATTCTAGCCAAACAGCTGTGATGGGTTATAGATTATTTTATTTTTGTTTCCATAAAGGGAATTAGTTAGAAGATGTAGCAGCTTTCTAGTTAAAATTATAACTTTTCTTTTTTTTCCAAGTTAAAAATTTCCCCAAAATGTGTTTTATGAAGGGTATGTACGTGTTCACGTTATATATCATCTAATTAGTTAAAACAGTATCCTAAAGAGTGTTACTGGTTGAAAGTAACATTCTATCATGATGGGTTTATCAGTAGATTTGACTTAAAAAAAAAAAAAAGAATGTTAATAACTTGGTTTTCAGAGCTCGGTCAACAGAGACTGCATAAGCATACAGGATAGATTTTGCCCTCTGGGTCGTATGCTTATAACTCCATTTATTTACTTCTAACAATATTTTTCAGAGAACTTTTTTCTTTTGTTGTTCCTTGCTTGTTAATCTTTAAGAGAAAGGAAAACATGACAGTTTTCCCCAAATAGGAAAAGAATTTTCAAAACATTTTAAAGGGAGCCATTTTCATTTCTTGTAAAAACACTGTATAAAGTTCTAAAGTAAGTCTGCTATATAGGTAAACAGAAATCAATTGATATTCCTTCCCTCCTTCCCTCCCTCCCTCCCTCCTTCTCTCTTTCCCTCCCTCTTTCCTTCCTTCCCTTCCCTCCTTCTCTCCTTCCATCCCTCCCTCTCTCCCTTTCTTCCTTCCTTCCTTCCCTTCCTTCCTCCCTCTGTCCCTTCCTTCCTTCCCTTCCCTTCTGCTCTCCTTCCCTTCATCCGTCCTTCCCTCTTTCCGTACCTCTCTCCCTCTCTTCCTTTCTTCCCAGTAAGGTGGTGGTAAAAAAACTCCACCATGGCTTTTACGACCGCTTAATTAATGTTGCAGGTGCTATGGCTGTTATGTAGTACTTACAGTTTAGGCAGCCTGCTCAGTAATAGCTCTATAATGTACACACTCATCTCTTTGCCAGGCTTGGTGTCCTTTTATTCACTTAGAGGCAGCTTCTAGTATATGACCAACTCACCTATCTCTCATAAGTCACCACAAAACCACCCACAAAAATTCCAGACTAAGTACACTACATAGACTCTGTTTCGTCCGTGCGTTTCCGAAGGGGGCATGCTGGCGATCAAAGATGTGGACGTAAAACCTCATCACGTGTTACCAACACCAAGGGGGCTACTATAGCAGCTCCTGGCAAAGAGGTTCTCAGTGGAAACTATTCCAAGAAAATACTCCTTAATCCCTCAAGCTGGAGGCTCAGGAGATTTACCCAGGCTTATGACCATATAAAAAATTGTCCCACTGGATTCTGTCCTTTATAAATGCCAGGCTGAAAGTTTGGTTTGGAAGTAAATAGGGCTGGATGCGGCGCGAGTTGTAAGGAGAGGAGCTGGTGTTTCCTATGAGAGTGGGAAGAACCTGTTTGTAAAATGGTGGTGAAATTTCCTGAGGGCGTGTAACATTTTGGTCCAGTCGCTCTTGCCAAAGCCTTCTTAAGCTGGCAGACTCTGGAGATCTCGGCTTCTGATGTCCACTGTAGATTTATTTTAAAAAAAGTTTTGGCATAATCCTTTGGCTAAATTGGCATTTTTTTCCCCTTCCACCTCCCTATTTTGCACTTGAGAATACAGTCCGTTTTTGCTGTTTCTAAGTCAGTCCTTTTTATTCGGTTATAAAAGGCAAACCCTCTTGCCCAAAAAAACACGGCAACATTAATGAATTGAAAACAGATATTTCCAGACTTTCAAATGTGTTCCACACTTTTCCTAAAAGGCATGCTGAATAATTCTACACAAGCAGGCAAAACTGTTTCGCATACGGCCATTTTTGTTTGTACAAAAGTAACACAAGCAGTTCACGGGGAAATTCGCAACTGTTTGAAGGGAGAGCTGGACTTGCATTTCTACTAAATGAGTCTATTTTCCTTTGCCTGCACTACTTCATGGGGCTTTAAACTTTAATAAACATCATATTCAAAGCCGTAGCCCGTGGTTAGCACCCCCTCTCTGGGTCTATCCTAGGGAGTTTGCTAGTATCCAACCGCCTACTTCACATCTGCAATGTCTCCAGAACATCTCTCCCTTACCAAGGCATAAATCGCATTATTGTTCCCCCTCTCTCCCCCGTTCCCCATCCCTATCCCTCCTCTCGTTTTCTCTCGTGAATGGTTCTCCTGTCCACCCAGATGAATTTACTGGAAACCTGCAACTCACTCTTGTCATTTTTCTTCACCTTACTCTCCTCCATCCAATCCATTGCCAAGTCCTGCTAATTATACCTCAGGGACATATTTCAAATCCATAGACCTGTATCCCCTGCCAGCTCCAACACCTCAGCTCTAGCCCCCCTCACCAGTCATCAGCTCAACAGCAACAGCTTCCTGTCTAGGACACCCCGCTTCCACATGAGCCCACCTCAAATGTATCACCCCCTGTGAAAGCCTTATGGAGCACAATTCTACTCGGACACACATGGAGTCGTCATGAGTCAGAATTGACTCGATAGCAACCAGTTTGGCTGTTTTTGGTGGTATTTGTAATTATAAATTGGAACAACTCACTCTCCCCTTAGAATAAAGTCCCAAATCCTTGCCATAGCCTGAAAGCCCCTGCGTGATCCAGCTTCTGCCTCTTTCTCACTTCCCGACCTACTCTCCTTACGCACTGCGCTCCAGCTACACTGGCTAAATTTCAGTTTCTGGAGTGCACCGAGCACCGAGCCTTTGCACATGCTATGCCTTCTGTCTGTGGTGCACGTTCTCGCCACAACTTTATTTAACACCTACTCGTTCTTTAGGTCTCTCGCTTAAAACGCACTTGTTGTTAGCTGCCACTTAGTCAGCTCCGACTATTGGCATCCTCATGCATAATGGAACGACGCGTTGCTGGTCCTGCGCCATCCCCAATCCCTGCGCCATCGGTTGCAGATTGGACCGTTGTGATCCGTAAGGTTTTCACTGGCTGATTTTCGGAGGTAGATCACCAGGTCTTTCTTCCTAGTCCATCATAGTATGGAAAATTAGCCACATGCAAGCCTCCACTGACAGATGGGTGGTGGCTGAGCGTGAGGTGCATTGGCCGGGAACTGAACCTCGGTTTCCGGCATGGAAGATGAGAATCTAGGACTTTACAAACCTCTACACCACACCCTTGCGAAAACTGTCAGAGCATCTACTTTTTTGCCCCCTCCTAGCACTGACCAGAAGATGCCATTAAACTAACTAGTAGTTCATTAGTAGTCCCTCCTACTAAAATCGAAGAGCCATGTCTCTGTTGAAAGAATGAATAAATGAACAATTCTAAGAGATAAATATTATGATCCTCATTTTGTAAATGAAAGGACTAAGATTTAGAGATAATCACTGACCAAAATCCTCCCAACTGTAAGGTGCTGGGGCCAGGATTCGAACTTCAGTCTTCTGACTCCAAAGTCTACACTCTTCTCTCTTTATCCCTTTGTTACATATGTCAGTTGTTCTGAATAAAGCAAAGAGACAGTCCTCTACACTGTATATGCATCTCACATAACCCAGAGCTGAGTGTTGTTATTATCCCGATTGTACAGATGTGCCTCAGAGAATGTAAGAAACGTGCCCAAGGAAATGCCATGAGGAGGAGGTGAGGCTGTAATTTGAACCCAGGCTGTCCCCCTCCAGAGCTCTTAGCTATGAAGCTGGCCTGCCCCTCACAGTTCTCTCCTCTTTCTTCCTGCTGCCTAAGAGCATAGCCCAGGACCCCGCAGGCTCACTGAGGGCGTGTTCCCCTCCATTCCCTGCTCTTACCCTGCCCTGCTCTGTGTTCCCAAGATGAGCAAGGTATGTTCTTCAAGCTCCCCTAAATGGCTTCTTACCAGGTTCAGTCTATTATTGTTCGTTGCTGTTGAGTTGATTTTGACTCATGGCCACCCGATGTGTGCAAAGCAGAAGTGCATTCCTTACAGTCTTCAAGGCTGTGACCTTTTGGAAGCAAATTGGCAGGCCTTACTC